AAACCCCAAACCCTAAACAAAAAACCAAGCCTTGTTGCAGGACCACGGAGATCCCGAGGTTCGCGCCTTGGCCAAGCGCCTGAGGCGCCCTGGCGTCCTTGGGGTTCAGGTTGGGGAAAATATAGGGTTTAGTGTTTTTTAGGGCTTTTTTTAGGGCTTAAGGCTTCGGAGTTTGAAGGGTTTGGGACTTTGCAGTTGATTTAAGTTTGGGTGAGTTGATGGGCTTTAGAGTTTAAGGGTTTGGTAGGGTGTAGGGAGGGTTTAAGATGAAGTTTTGGGCTTCAGAGTTTTGGGGTTGAAGGTTTTAATGGTGGCTTTAGGGTTGCGTGAGGCCCCATCCTGTGATGGCTGAAGGTTTGGGGTGCGGGGGGGGGGGGGGGGGGGTTGCTGCCAAGAGCTGGCATTGCCATGACACATGAAGAAGCAAGGCCCGCTAGGAACGTGGGCATGAGACACAGCACTCATTCGACTCCAAGTTTCGATTCTCGTTGCCCCAAGCACTAGGCAGTCAAGCTCAACGGGGCTTTTGAGGCTTCAAAACACGCCGTCTGGCATGTGGAGCCATGCCTACTTCCGTCTTCTCACCTGGGAAGGCGTACCTGGAAGGACTTGATCGCCACGGCTGCGGGCGAGGTGGCCTGGGAGTTCTGCGGGACACCCGCAGGGCTGTAGACCTTCAAAGGTTTTGGGTACGGGTTCTTACAGGTCTCTGGGGCGAGTCGGAGGCTGTGGCGTGTCCTTCATTTATAAGAAGGCTCGGCGCACGAGAAGCAAGCTTGGACTCTAGGGTCTTGTTGCTACTTGCTGCAGTGATTTCTGTGGTACCATTGCAGCTGCACAGTGGCGTGCCTTTTTGGAATCGGTGGCTATGGTTTCTTACCTGTATGATCAATCTGGGGCTCGTGATCCTGCCTGGTTTGAAGGTTTTTTGAACTATAAACACCCTATTGAACCCACAAAAGACCCTGTCAGAGCCTATCCGAATGAATGTCAACACATTCAAGCGCCTCATGTAGGGCTTTGCTGCAAGGGCTTTGCTCATTAGAACCTGATTGCGATTTGGGGTACATTACAGCACTAAGAAAACAGGGAACATAAGCACTCGTAGTCTTGCATGTTCATGGGACGAAGGGTGGCGCAAGTTGTGAGCGCGGATGCTCATACGTAATGATGCGCCATCGGCTTTCTCACCACTGGTGTAGTGGGTGTTGTTTTAAGAGAAGCCATGATGACGGGACCTTGTCCCGCAGAACATCCCATAGCTGAGTGATCACATCAATTATGCTGCGAGCTTGATATGTTACAGAAGTCCACGGGAAACGCTGAACCCTAAACCGAAGTCCCGAACTGTCCCACGGCTGTCGACTAACAGTGCCAGCACTGTACAGGCCGCCGCAGCCATGCCACCAGCGCCGCCACCGCCGGAGACGGAGGAACTCACTGCTAGATCAGGGACACTACAGGGGCTTTGTAATTCAGAACTAAAATTAGGTTTTGATCGTGTGAACTCTTGATAAGAGTTGATAACCTTTCATTTCAGGTTTTGGGATATATTGCACTAGAATACTAGAGTAAGAATGGGGACGATGAGGGCACATTGTTAATTACTAGTAGCTCTTGTTGAGTGGTTATTCTTTCTTCAGTCCTTGTTGGTACCTGCTGGTAGCCCTTGCGCCACTCTCTAGCTTCACAGCAAGCACGGCAAGGTACATGTCTTGCTCTACCTGCCAGTCTCCAAACCTCCTTCAGCCCTAAATCCTCAGTCCTACACCCGAAGCCCAACCCAAATCCTAAAACCCTTAAACCCTAAACCCTAAACCCTAAACCCTAAAACCCTGAAACTCTGAACCCCCAAGCCCGAAACCCCTGAACCCCTAAACCCTAAAACCTAAAACCCTAAACCCTACAACCCTAAACTCTAAAACCCTACAACCCTAAACCCTAAACCCTAAAAGCCCTAAGCCCTACAACCCTAAATTCTAAAACCCCCCTAAACCTTTCAGAAGCCACCAAAACTCGGGCCAGGCGGCAGCGGCAGCAAGCGCGGTGCTTTCGAGGGAGCCTCACCACGGCATGGCCCCTCGCCACGAAGAGTTTATAAGGGTTTTGGGTTTTGGGGTTTTAGGGTTTAGGGTTTAGGGGTTTTAAAGTTTAGGGTTTTGGGTTTAGGGTCTAGGGTTTAGGGATTTGGTGGGGCTTTGAGGTTTAGGGTTTGGGGATGAACTATTGGAGAGCTATAAATAGGGGCTGCAAGGGCTTGTTGCAAGGTGCAAGGTTAGCTGAAAGCCTGGAGCCAAAGTCGTACTGCATCCCTACAAGATTCTGGCCCCGCAGTCGTGCTCGCTTGAAGGTTGAAGGATGCAGAACCTTCTGGGTTTGTTTGCAGGTTTGGGGCTTGCGACTTGGATTCAGATGTCTGGGCCCGAGGGCTTTCGGCTCGGATGTTGGGGTTTAGCAGTCCTCTAAGACCACCGTGTGTTGGGTCCCGGGAGACTAGCGGTGCCCACGTGAACAGTTGTTCCTTTGACTACAAGTTCCGAGGTTTTAGCTATTTTAGCTATTTTAGCTTCAACGGTTTAAGCTCCAGGCACAAAGCTTTGTAGCTCTGTTCCCTGGAGCCCTAAATCCCTAAATATCAAATCCGAGAATGTTGAGCACCCTCAGCTTTGGCTATGGGAGGCGCCTCTGATGCCGGGCCTGGAGCAGGAGGCGGAAGAGCTCCTACAAGAGCTGGAGGACTCCCGGGTTTTAGTCTCATAGAACCAGCTGCAGGTCCCAGAAATATACGGACTTCGGGGTTCGAGGTAGGCCCAGAATCTCTGAAGAGCATCCCTCTCAGAAGGTTGATGGTGTAGAGATTCCTTTGCACTTGAGTGCTGCTGGTCTTCAGCGAATGCCTCAAATCTTCAAGTTCCAGACTCTGCAAGAAAAGCGGCAGTAGTGCTCTGATGGTAAAAGCAGTCAATCGGTGAAGCGTTCGTTTGGTGCACATCAGTATACAAACAGTGGGACCCGGTTTTGTGGCTTTGCCACTGTCGCACCTCGTGTTTGCTGCGTAGTGTGACAGGTCTTACTCTTGCTAATGATGCTGTTGTGCGGCGAGGTCTTGTGACCATTGTTGTCATTACTCGTTTGGTCTAGTTGCCGGCAGAAATACGCCTACTAGATTCCTTCCCTGCGTATTC